TTAGCTTGATGCTAACATGAATGCTAACCTCATAAGGTGCTGCACTGCTGATTATTCTAGATCTGTTTCAGACAGATAAAGCATATTTGATCTCATTCTGTCTCCTGACCCGTATTCCCACAACGTAGAGCTGATGATAAGACATTATAATTAAGAGGTTACAACAGCGAGATATTAATGTGCTTATAATTTAAAAAAATTAAATAATTTAATCTAGAAAAATAAATGATAAATCATAAAATTCACAGATGTGTTAAAAAACTAAAATAAAATGATATTTTTATTCTTATTAATGTTTCAATATTGACCGAGGCAAACTTTTCATTTTGCTGTTTTCCAGCTGCAACCATCCATAAAATGAAGCTGAGTTCATCTCTTTAATACAAATGCAGCTGTATTCACACCCCATGAGCCTGCACAGAAAAGCCTGCCACACTTTTCAGATTTTCTTGGTGAAGCGTGTCATCCTTTCCAAACTGAAACCTAAATGTGAAAGTTGGCGCCCTGAACACTCAAATCATCAGCAACAGCAACGACATGAAAATCTTTTGTTTGCTTTATGGACGCATGAAGCTGCTGCCTTCACCAGCAGGTGGCGCTGTGTGATCACTCTCTGGTTTTCTTTGTTCTGTGTTGACTGGAAATGTGAAAAACTGCCTCGAATAAGGATCAAAATGTGATTCATATCAAGACCAATATCACCTTTTCTTTTGATATTGTTTGTTTTCCTCTAATTCATGTAAAGGACTTTGAAAATGTGCTAAATAAATAAAATGAACTGAAAGATTCACCTGCAAAAATGGCACAAAATGGAACCGATTAGGGGAGAAGATCAAAATATCTACTGTATAAAATTCAATTTTACAGATTAAGTTTTATACAGAAAACAAAAATCTTAAAAAGTCTGGAAAACATTCAATTAAAGTCGTAATTAAAATATAAGATTTAAAACTGATTTGAAAACAAGTCTGGTTAAAATGTAAGCAAATAAAATTCAGATCAAGTTTTTTAAAGTCGACTGTAAAATGAATCTGAACAAAATGATCAGAAAACCTGCAGCAACTCAAATTCTTTCAAAATAATCCTTAAAAGGGAAATAAAGTATATTTGGGTCAAATAAATTAGAAGAAGGAGCATAAAATCATCAGTTTATAACCAGCCAGTTTCTTCGTTTCTGTGTAAATATTTTTATCTTTATACTTTTTTAACAACAGCCTCCATACGGACTCAAAATTTCAACATAAAATATTTTCTAACTTCCAAACATTTAGGTCAAAACTCTGTTCATCTAATAATTATTTCACTATATTGACATTTTCAGCCGATTTCTGTCTGTTGGCAATAAATGAATAACGGACAGCAGGGGGCGCTGCAGCCCACTGTAAAACGGAACTGATAGGAAACAGTTTGTTTTTCTCATCATTAACTAACTGGTTGTTTTTCTGTATGTTGGTAAATAACCAGAAATCTCATCTTCTTCAGCTCAATGAAGTGAAACAGAAATTTCTGAGCAACAGATTTTAAACATCGTAGGAAAACAGATTTTTCAGGAAACTCAACGTTCCTGCAGCAGAAACATTCATTTCATCATTTAATTGGAATAAATTCAGCTTTGTATTTTTCCCTTTTGCAGCAGAAATTAGGAATGAATTTTATCATAAAGTTGAACGGTTTAATCCTCGTGGTATTTCTGAATTGAAGCTGTTCCCGGTTTGTCAGTGTGTCGTTTTCTGCGTCGTTTTCTTAATTTCCTTCGTCACATCTGAGAAATGATGGATTGATTATTGGATCGTATTTACTCTGGTGTGTTTCTGCAGAACGTCTGTTTTGTCCAGAAAATGACTGAACTATGAGTTCAGATGAAGGAAAATGTTTGTTTGTCCTGACATGTTTATTACATGTTTATTACTGCAGAGCTCAGATCATGTCTACCTGTGTTATAAAATAACTGCTCATGTTCTCCCTGAATGTTTCTCCTGTGATTTATTGTTATTATTATTATTGTCATTACAATCAGACTGTCAATTATTTTGCTACATGTTTAAAGTTTAGTGTTGTGGCTTATTCGACATTAAAACATGTTTTATTCTTTGACAGATACTAAATTGTTATCACAGAGAAACTCCTATTAACTTTGATAAACTGTGTTGTGGGTCATCACTGCAGCTGCTCTTAATGGTTTATTCCTGTTTTAAAATGTATTAATGCTGTTATATGGAGGAGTGTCCAGAATGTGTGTGGTCTGCACAAAGACGCCTAACTTGGTATTCTGGCTGTTTTATCTTCATGCTAACATTTCATGAGCCACTCCCAGATTTATTTTAGACAAAGAGCATTTGCTTTTCAATACAGAAAACATTATTAAAGTCTTTATTATCCAGATCAATTGGATCCTATTGAACAAGAATCACAAGAAAATATTTAGGAATAATTCCGGATGCTCAGTTAAATTTTAGGAGTCATGTCGATAAAATAAGCAAAACCATCAAATATAAACTGTTATACAATTACTAGATTAACAGTCCGCTGTGCAGAGCTGATTTCTCCTGCAGGTCTCAGACCAGCCAAACCCCAAACCTGATATTAGCAAGTCGCTATAATCGCCTTCAAAGGCTTTATGTCAAAAGCCAATCAGATTCCATCATTCTCACATTTTGGCTAAATTTGGCCTTTCTTAATTTTATAATTATAATCTTTTAAAATAGATTTTTAAGTGTTTCAATTCAGTGATTTAGTGATAAATTTAGTCTGACTCACTTCCTGTTGATTTAAAGTCTGTAACCAGTTTCAAAATGTTCAAAAAGCAAACTAAGCTCTGCTTATGTCACTCTGGATATTGTCAACATTATGTTGTTCTATTTTAAATGATTATTTTTAGAGGTACTTGTTTTGACCATTTGTCCAAAACTAATTCCAAAATAAATAAAAACTTAAATTTCAAAAGTGATCAAAGCAAAATGAAATAAACTCAAATAGTCAGTACGGTGCATCGTGGCTTCTGGTTTACGCAGTCCAAAACCAAAAGGTCAAAAGGGTCAAAATGCAGCTCTTTGTTTGCTTTATTCAGTTTTTAGCGATAAACAAGTTAAACCTGCCCTGATTCCTGCAGCTGTTCTCACTGATGAAACTGACTGACTGATGACAGACAGGAACAAAACCATAAGATCACCATGTGGCTCCAGACTGAACCTACATATCGATACTGTGAAACTTCCCAAACTGAATCAATTCACTCATTAAGTGAATTACTCACCAGAAAACTTATTTAGAAACAACAAAATAAACATTCTAACTATAAATCAACTAGAAAATAAGCAAATAAAAAAAACTCAATAATCTACATTCTAAACTTTAACTGAGAAAATGGAGAAATATCTCCTACAGAACTCTTTAAATGGACTGAACTTACGCAGCACTTTTCTGCTTTTTGACGACACATAGAATGTGACTCGAGCCTCAGACCAGAGTCACATTCACCCATTCACGCACCGATACAGATCAGGGTTAAGTGCCTTGCTCAGAGGTACATCGACACATGGAAGCTGGAATCAAACCTACAACCTTCCGATCACAAGACGACTCCACCATACAGCCACAGTCGCTACACAAAAGCCCATCCAGGGACAATTTACTGCGATTGCACTATGACGCAAACATGCAACTGTTCTGCTCAGTTGGTCTGTCCCTCGCAAATAAACTTCATAAAAATAAGTATTTTATTTTACCAAGAGTTGATTTTATTTCCAATCTGATTTGAATCATTTCATACATTAATTGATTTATTAAGATTATTAATTTTTTCTTCTGCATCTGGAAAATGCTAACAGTTCATTATCCTGTTATTTTAAACTTCTTCCCTAATTTATTTCTCTGCAGTCGGTTTAAAACCATTCAAGTTAATTCAGTCATTAATAAAACACATAAACATGTGATGTTGCAGTGACTGCATCTGTGTTTTAGAAGCAGCTAAAAACCGCTAGCTCCATGCTAAACGATAGCATTAACTTTATCTCAGATTAGCTGTTTTAAAATAAACTTTGTAAATTGATTTTAAGAACAACGAAGCTGTTCAGAATATTCATTTTAATAATATAAAATTAATAGCCTAATCCTAATCCACACAACGTTTCAGATTTAATAAATTAATAATTTTGTTGTTCACATTTTTGAAATATCTGTTTTTATAGTAATATATTTTGTAGAGAATAAATGCTTCCTGCAGCTAAACATTCAGACGACTTTCATATTTAAATCACTATAATTAGACGTTTAATCTGTCCCACTACAAGAGTTATGAACAAATTAATCAAGTTCTCACTGCACGTCTCTGTTGCTTCTTCTAGTTCAGCAGGAATAAAATCTGATTTCATTTCAAACTGAAGTATTTTGGAGGAAGCTGCACAGAAACTGAAGCAATGTTTCAAATATTTCTGCAGATTTTTATTCTTAAAACTGGAGCAGAATTACAGCTGGAAATGTTCTGAACATATTTCACTCTAACCTGAACATTTCCTGTTTCTGACGTATTTTATCACGCAGAGCAGAAAGTTAACATAATGTTGGATTTAAAAACGTCTTTCTGGACGTCCCATCTGTCCCTGACTGGACGAGTTTCATTTCACATCAGAAATAATCTTCCAGAATCAGCCGGGAATTTCCTGAGTGAGGCCGGAATGCCGACGGCTCAGCCGCGCTGCAGGAGGAGGAGATGTCCTTCATGTTGTTTTAATTCAAATCGTCCTACTTTAACTGGACCGTTTCTACTTCGATGAGGACAGACAGACAGTCATCATATTAATAATCTTGTTTAATAAATTATCTTTATATTTTTTACTTTATGGTATCATAAACTGCAGGATGAATGAGAAATGATTTTATTTTAAATGTATCTTAGAGTTGTGATGTGTGAAGGTTCAGCGGTTCCAAGTGTTGATATCAGAGCTGTGCTGCAGGCAGGACCAGGTGGGCGGGGCTAAGATAGTGGGCGGGGCTACGAGAGTCTAACCTTCGTTGCCTCGTTTCCCCCGGCCGACTCGGCTCTGCGGCAGGGTGCCGCCCGCTGGCGGTGGGGGGTATGGCGCCCCGCCTGCAGGCGCCATGTCCTTCGTTACCATGCGACCGAACGCCAGTTGTTGTTTTTCTGAGACAAAAGAAGAAGAAGAAAAAGCTGAGCTACTGTTTCATAGGCTGATTGTGATTTTTCTGAGACTTGAAGAAAATGCGCGGCAGCTGATCTCTGCCTTGCAGGAGGAAAGCAGGTGGCTCAGACGGTGCAGGTGAGCTAACGATGTTCTTTGTATTAAACTACTATAAAACTTGTAATAGTGCCGAATATAAATGCATTAATGTCAGTCAGGGTGTTGCAAACAGCTTCATAGTGTCCGAATTCATTCCTAATGTGTTTTCAGATGTGGGTAAACTGCAGAGCTTCCTGGTTCGTCCTGCAGCGTCTCGTCTGTCCTCCTGGTGTTTCACCTTCAGGACGTCCAGAGACCTTCACCTTTCTGCAGCAGGAATCACATGAGCTCAATGTGCTGATGTAACTTTTATCATTTCAAAATGTTCTTCCAGAGTTGAAGTGCATTAATTAATGATCTGGTGTTTTTAACTCCAATATGTTTTATTATGATTCATCTGATCGAGTTACACTGAGAACGAATAAAGCTGCATTCCTTCCAATCTGACTGCTTCTAGTTTTAATCAAACCTTCATGTTTTCACATTTTGGTATCTAGAGTTAAAACTTCAAACTCAGACTCATCACTAATTAAAGTTCCAGGTTTTGGACACATTTTCTGACTGTTACACTGAAGATCCTGCAGGCAGTCAGCTGGACAGCCAGTGGACAGAACCATGTTGTATAAAGTAGAAATGAACAGACGTGATTTGTATTTTGGGTTCTTGTCAATAGCAACCCTGACAATAATGTCAAAATGTTTGGTTTGCTGAATAATGTATTAATACTGTCAGTGACATATTTATATCATGTTATTTTCTCTCGGTCTAAAGCTCCTCCCATTTTGGGAGGATTGTATTAGGACCTCGATGCCAAACAAACTGCAGTTTGTCCAATAATGTGTGGAGAGAATATAAAAAAGAGACTTTGTTGACTTTTATTTTCTGGTCTGCCTGGACTCCATGCAGCTCTGCCATCAGCTGGTCGCTGCTGAAGGAGATCCAGTTGTTGTTCTGTGGTTCTCCTGGTGGTTCTCCATCATGTCGGCCATGTTCCTCTTCTTCTGGAGAACAAACCAGATGTTACAGCTTGAGGCACATAAACGTAGAGAGATGACAGAGTTACTGATGTGGAAGTTACACAGAAGGGATTCTTTCAAACTGACATGTTGCTTTATATATGCAAACAATTTTTACCATCCAGACATGCAGAATTATGAATAACTGGAATAGTTATGTAAATTACAGACAAAACTTAATTATGTTGTTAGTTTTAGACCAATGCAGACATACATACCACTATTGTTTTCTTCAGGTTTATTGGTTTTATGTCCTCAACAATTAATCATTGATAACCAGTTAATAACTGATATGTAGCCATTTCACAATAATAGGATATCATATAACATGTTTTATTATCTCACAATGAGGGAAACAAGATGAGAAACAATGGAAGCATTTAGATTCAAGATGAAACATCAAACCACATGAAGGCAACATGATGGACGTGATTTTTAACTGAGGAATGTGAAACTGAGTATCTTCAGAAAATGCTCATGTTGTGTCTGAGCAATAAAAATACTTTGTGTTTCAAAGTCTTTCATGTTTGCAACCTTAAATAGGAATCTAACCATTTATGTTCTGATCTTTTATTGACCTTAAATATAGTAAAAACAAGACAGATAATTCTCCAAACTGCTCACCTGGTGGGCTGCGGCAGGTGATGCAGGGCGGTTTCTTCCCTCCGGTTTATTTGGACTCTGCTGCCGGTTCTGATGGAATCGTAACGTTAATTTGGACCAGAACCGGCGGTCAGGTTCTATCCGGACCGTGGGGATCCGTCCTGGATCAATTCGTCTGGCTGTGAATCCAATGGAGGAGTTATGCTGCGGGCCACTGCAGCAGAACCGGTTTAAAGGAACCGGTTCTGCTCCTCCATGTTTTCAGGGTCGTTATTACCTTGTTGAGGGCTTGTATGCACTTCCTGTGATCCACAGGTCACTTCCTGTGATCCACAGGTCACTTCCTGTGATCCACAGGTCACTTCCTGTGATCCACAGGTCACTTCCTGTGATCCACAGGTCACTTCCTGTGATCCACAGGTCACTTCTTGTGATCCACAGGTCACTTCCTGTGATCCACAGGTCACTTCCTGTGATCCACAGGTCACTTCTTGTGATCCACAGGTCACTTCCTGTGATCCACAGGTCACTTCCTGTGATCCACAGGTCACTTCCATGTCTCTGGCATCCTGAGGGGACGAAGGACAAACGACATGATGATGATGATGGCGGCTCTTCCTCCTCTGATGATGTCAGTCCAACATGGCAGATCCTGCATAATGGATGCAGCTTTTGTCGCAGCGTTCCGCTCATTTCCTCCTCATCAAACTTTAACTTCCTGTTTCAGCCTGAAATATCATTAAGACCCAAAGATGAACATCGGACCGGAACCAAGACCAGAATTAGGACTGGAACCGGTTATGACCCAACAGAGCCGGTTCTGTTCCTGCCATAACATTCATTCAGGCTGGGCTTCAGACTTTGACTAGGCCACTCAGCACCTCCACTCTTCTGGTTTTCAGCCATTTTGCTGAGTTCTGAACCCAGTTCTGATGGACCCACAACAAAACCAGGTTCATCCAACCTGGTCCTGCCTGACCCTGTCCAACACCGACGGCCATCTTGGTTCTGTGATGTACCGGCGGCTCCACAGCGTAGAAGCGAGTGAGACGGTGGACGGATTTAAAGGTGCGGTTTAAGGGAGCAGCAGAGGATCATGGGAGTTTATAATAATCTGGGATCAATCCCAGATTATTATAAACTCCAGTTTTGCTTCATCCAGGATAAATCCTGGGACCTGCTGGTTCTGATGTTGGGATTCAGATTAAAACAGTTTGATGTTTTCTAGAATTGAGTTCTGGAGGTTCGGGCGGGTTCAGCTGCAGAACCAGCTGAGTTTTTCCTGCCACTTAATTTCCCAACAGAGATCAAGGCTGAAACGTTTATGAGGAGCAGAGACGATGAAGGAGAAACGGCGCTTTACTCCGACAGCATGTGTGTGTGTGTGTGTGTGTGTGTGTGTGTGTGTGTGTCGGAGCAGGAAGCCATGTAACGGCGTGTTTGAGCAGAAACAGGCTGCAGCTTTTTACAGCAGATTGTTCCTCCAGATGTTTCAGAGGGACACACACAATAACACACACTGAGACACACACACACACTGAGACACACAATAACACACACTGAGACACACACACACACTGAGACACACAATAACACACACTGAGACACACACACACACTGAGACACACAATAACACACACTGAGACACACACACACACTGAGACACACAATAACACACACTGAGACACACACACACACTGAGACACACACACACACTGAGACACACAATAACACACACTGAGACACACAATAACACACACTGAGACACACACACACACACTGAGACACACACTGACACACACTGAGACACACAATAACACACACTGAGACACACACACACACACTGACACACACACACACTGAGACACACAATAACACACACTGAGACACACACACACACTGAGACACACACACACACTGAGACACACACACACACTGAGACACACACACACACTGAGACACACAATAACACACACTGAGACACACACACTGAGACACACACACACACACTGAGACACACAATAACACACACTGAGACACACACACACTGAGACACACACACACACTGAGACACACACACACACTGAGACACACAATAACACACACTGAGACACACACACACACTGAGACACACAATAACACACACTGAGACACACACACACACTGAGACACACAATAACACACACTGAGACACACACACACACTGAGACACACAATAACACACACTGAGACACACACACACACTGAGACACACAATAACACACACTGAGACACACACACACACTGAGACACACAATAACACACACTGAGACACACACACACACTGAGACACACACACACACTGAGACACACACACACACACTGAGACACACAATAACACACACTGAGACACACACACACACTGAGACACACACACACACTGAGACACACACACACACTGAGACACACAATAACACACACTGAGACACACACACACACTGAGACACACAATAACACACACTGAGACACACACACACACTGAGACACACAATAACACACACTGAGACACACACACACACTGAGACACACAATAACACACACTGAGACACACAATAACACACACTGAGACACACAATAACACACACTGAGACACACAATAACACACACTGAGACACACACACACAGAGACACACAATAACACACACTGAGACACACACACACACTGAGACACACACTGACACACACTGAGACACACAATAACACACACTGAGACACACACACACACTGAGACACACACACACACTGAGACACACAATAACACACACTGAGACACACACACACACTGAGACACACAATAACACACACTGAGACACACACTGAGACACACACACACACACACACACACACTGAGACACACAATAACACACACTGACACACTGAGACACACATGTTGGGATTTCTATCTTTGTGGGGACTTTCCATTGACTTCCATTCATTTCTTTCCTTTTTTTTACTTTATGTTTATTGATTGTTTTATTTATCAATCACATACAGAAACAAAACGGAGCAAAACTGTTGACAAGGAAATTACTGACATTCTGACAGATGAACAGATACAGGCTGAAAACATCAGATTTACTTTCCAGTTTTTGAGCAGCATCTAGTGACAGAATAAATGATTCAGTTGTTTCTCTAGAAGTCTAGTCCATTCGCTCCGTCTCTGTATGTAAAGGTCCGATTGCAGCCTCAGCAGGAACGTTAACGTTTCCGTTTTGTGGGTTTCTTCCACCAGTTCCAGCCAGTTCTTTAGTGTTGGTGGATCAGGTTGAAGCCATTACCAAGTGATCAATGTTTTGGCTGTAGCACCGAAGATTTTTAATAAATGTTTGTCACTCATGTTCAGACGCTCAGGAACGGCTCCGAGCAGCGATAACATGCTAGGCTGTTGAAGTTTAAGACCCCAAATTAATTCAATCTTCTCCAAAACATCCTTCCAATGAGTCTTGATCTTTATGCAGGACCAGAAAACATGGGAGTGATTTGCCTCTGTGTCCCTGCATCCTCTCCATCCATCACCCAGAAGCATTTGGGTTTCTGTAACATTAGATCACCAATGTTTCTTGGTGATCTACAGAAACATTACGGTTCACAGCTATTGGTGTGAACTCACACCATCTGTTCCTAACATCGTCTGTTGACATTCCTTTGGATCTCAACAATCCCTGATAAAGTTTGGAAATGTGATTTTGCCAGGTTTGGAGTAAGCTTGTGAAACCAATTGAATTATCTCGTTAGACTCTGAGATGCTGTCTTTTAATATGTTTGAAAAAAATGTGTCTTAAATTGCAAATATCTAAAGAAGTCCCCTTTTTCTAAATCATATTTTTGTTGTAGCGTGTGTAAACTTGGTGGTGTATTTTTGTCCAGTGTCCTGCAATAAGCGGTGATTCCTTTCTGTGACCAGTTTCTAAAACTGGAGTCTAATTGGTTAGGGGTGAAATCTGAGTCAAAGGTCGCCCATTAATATGTACAAATTAACAAACAGACAAAGTAACATGTGGCCTTCCTCAAGGATCAGTTCTTGGACCCAATTATTTATACTTTATTTAAACGATATTTTTGCAGTATCTAGTATTTTAAAGTTTATAATGTTTGCGGATGATACAAATTTATTTTTTTCGGGAAAAAATATGAATGAAATAATTAAAATAGTACAAAAAGAACTACTAGAGTTGAAAACAAGGTTTGACTATAATAAATTGTCGTTAAATGAAGGAAAAACTAAATTTATGCTGTTCTCTGGTAATCGGGTTTATAATAATGTACAGTTTTGCATAAATGGAGTTGGAATTGAAAGAGTCTATGAGACAAAATATTTAGGAATCATTATAGACAATAAATTTAGCTGGAAGCCTCATATACAATATAGTAGAAACAAAGTTGCAACAACTATTAGAATATTGTTTAAAATAAAATATTTAATAAATGCTAAAGGCTTGCATATTATTTATTCTTCTTTGGTTTTGCCTTATTTGTCTTATTGCTCAGAAATCTGGGGAAATGAAACCAAAACAATTATTGAAATATTAGTTAAGCTGCAAAAAAAAAAGCTGTAAGGCTTATTAATAAAGTGGGATATCGGGAACCAACGGATAAACTTTTTAGTCAAAGTAATATTTTCAAATTTAAAGATATTGTCTATATAACAATAGTGGAAGTAATGTTTAAAGCATTGAACAAAAGTCTCCCTTCAGGTATTCAGAAATTATTTAAGTAAAGAGAGAATAAATATAATTTGCGAGGTTTGTTTATATTTGAATGATAAAGTCTTGATGTGTTTCAGTTATTGGTGGGAAATTGTGGAACGAACTGAATGATTAATTTAAGTTATGTTCTTTTTTAGTAAACTTTAAAAGAGCTTTAAGATGTAAAATGATAAAATCTTACGCTATCATTTAGATTTATATATGTATTGTGAAAATATCCTGGTAGGTTACAGGGTAAAAAAAAAATAGGGTAGGCAAGAATAAGCTTTGCTTCAGCCTCTTCCTTTTTTGGTAAATTGTGGGTTATTTATTGTTTATCATTATTTCTTTGTTGTTTCTGGTGATGTGGACAGTTTACCAAAATAAAATAAATTAAATAAATGAATGAATGAATGAAATCTGAGAATTCACATTTGGTTACCTAAGTTTAATTCCTTAACCACTTCAAACCAGGTCAAAAGGGTAAATGACACTCGGGAGTCTAATTTTTTTGCATGCTGCTGCAAGTTTCCAATCCCCAATCAGAGCTTGTATTGGGATGTTTCCACACTTGCTTTCTAATCTGTTCCATCCAGCCTCGTTAGCATGGTCACACCACTGTACTACTGCTTTGAGTTGAGCTGCAAGGTGATAATCATGAAGGAGTGACAACCCCCCTTTTTCTTTCCTAATTGTAAGAGTACTCTATCTAATTCTGGGTTTCTGTCCCTTCCAGATAAAACGAGATATCAATTTGTCCCACTCACAAAACTGAGAATGAGGGGTTCTTAATTACGTCAATTCTTGAATTAAAGTCAATTATACATTCAGACCACTGTGTGAGGTCTTGTTTAATTCTCCTGTGTACAGTTTCAAAGTTTTTTGTACAAATCAATCAGAAGGCAAGTCAACCATATACCCAAGTATTTGATTGTTTTCTTAGACCAGTCAATAGGGATTTTATCTTTAAGCACTACCGATGAATAATAGTTAAACACATAATCTGTGTTTTTTTTCATATTAAGTCTGTATCCTCAGTAGGTGCTACATGTGTCTAGTAACTTTAAATCGGCCAGGATGAATTGCTCCAGGCTCGAGAGATAGAGAAGGATGTCATCAGCATATAGTGCTATTTTATACTGTGAATATCATTGTTCTCCCTAATTGGCTGGCGAGAGGCTCTATATGAAGTGGATCTCCAGCTTTACTGTGTCTGTCAAGCAGCCATTTATCTGGATCCAAGCTGTGGGTGACGCGTATCATGTTTTTATCAGGTTGATTATGGTATGTGAAAAACCAAATCGTTCCAAAACTAGAGATAAGAACTCCCAACTGACACAATCGAAAGCCTTTTCTGCATCCAAGCTCATCATTACTGCTGTATGATTTTTGTCTGAATATTCTGAATTATGTGAAGCGAGCGTCTTGTATTATCCTGAGTTTGTCGGCCAGAGACAAACCCGGTTCGGTCCCCGTCAATCAGATCTGAGACAGACGCCTTCAACCTATTGGACAAGATAGATGCATATAGTTTATAATCTTGGTTAAGGATGGAAATCGGTCTATATGAGCTGCATAATATTTTGTTTTTCCTCTTTCTTTTTGTATTAGCATTGTAATTGCTTCAGACCATGATGGCAGTCATTTTTCCTAATGTCCAATTTAATGATTTTAATAATACAGAGGATAGTTCTTCTTTAAATATCTTCTACCATTTGCCTGGAAGACCATCAGGACCGGGTATTTTTATTATTTTATAATTTCTTTTTTATCGTCTTTATCAGCTCCTTTTCAGTGATGTTCTCAGTTAAACTTTTGTTCTGACATTCTCCAATTGTTGGCAAGTCCAATGACTTGAGAAATCTTTTAACATCTATTTTGCTTTGTTCTTGTTGTGCATACAAAGCTTTATAATATGTTTGAAAAGCTTTGTCAATACCATCCAAACTGTTTCTACTATTCCTGTCTGTGATCAATTATGGAACAAATTGACTGGATCATTAGTTTTTTACTAATTCTTCTTGCCAGTAGCCCAGCTTCATAAAACGATTATTTCAGGAATTTATATATTTTTTCTTCCTCTCTTTTATGTATATCCAAAATTTTGCTCCTTGTCTCCTGGATTTGTGCGTTGGTATAATCAAGTTGATTTTTGATTTGCATGTTCTCCACTTGTTTTAATTTAGTCTCCAGTTTGTTTAGTTGAAGCTTTCTTAATAGCAGTACTTGGTGATATAAAGTTGCCTCTCATAATTGCCTTCAATGGGTCCCATGAAATATTAGGACTGAGAAAGAATTACCGTGTGGGATTCAGATCCTCTATGATATACTATTATTACTTACATAAGAATTGAGGATAAACATCAGGAAAGCTATTTTATACTTGCTCTTGCTGAAATCCTCGTTTGGAGAGCGAGGTGCCCCTTTATTTCTGGATAGCTGCTGGTTCTCGGTTTGGGCGGCAGATGGTGGCGTGTCGACCCGGTATCTTCTCCTCCTCATGTCGGCCGGAGCTTCTGAAGCCCTCGGGTACAGGTGTGGTCCGTCGTCCCGGTGAATCCTCATCTTAGCTGGGTAAGGTGTTTGGAAACGTATTTTCTCCTCTTTGAGAATCTTTTTGATGTTTTTGTATTCTTTAAGCTTATTGTTTATCTCGGTCTGTAGATCAATTTGCCATCATAATACCTTCTGTCCCCACGCTTTTAGGATTTTCTCTTTTATGTCGTATCTGTAAAAGTTGACGAGTATGGATCTTGAAATTGCTTCATCTCGAGGTTTAGGCCCCAGGGAACGATGCGATCGTTGAATCTGCAGATCTTGGCTGATGGAGAGCTGCTATTTCAGAAAGTTTTCAATGAATGTATGCATGGGGTTACCTTCGGCTTCCTTAATGCCGTAAATGCGGATGTTATTGCGTCGGGATCTTCCTTCTAATCAGTAACGTTGTTGTTTGAGGCAGTTAGACAAAGAGTCTCTCAGGTCCATATTCACCGTCTCCAGCTCGTTGTTCCACTTCCGTTAGCCTAGCAGCTTGGTTTCGGATGTCCGAACTGACTTCCTCCAGTTTCTTATTCATTTCACTCTTAAAGCTGTTCAGGTCTCGCTTGATGTCATTTTTCATAGCAATGATGACCTTTTGCATTTCTTTGATATTGTTGCATTGATTCTGGATAACCCTAGCAGCCATTAGCTCGCATTCCTTACTGTGGTCCTAGGCCTGCATCATGCCAGCAGCATCCCCAGGTCTCTTTCTAACTCCACGCATTATACATCATTTTGAAGAAGAACTGAATCTCCTTATCAAGCTTAGTGGAGTTTTTCTTGTCGTTGACCAGGACCGGTTATGGATTTAACTCGCCATCTTGAAAATGCTCCCAGAAGACTTCCCTTCATTTCTACAACCGAACTTTCATCCTAACTCCAAACCAAAACTCAGTTCACACCTTAGTCCTAAATCTGACCCCGGACCCAAAACAGCGTTTCCCCTTGTGGGGCCTTCAGGCTTCGGTTCCACAAGGGGCAATTGGTCCCCATAAAGTATTATAAACAAACGCGCATACACCCACACACACACACACACCTGGATGGAAGCCATTTTGTATGGATTCTACTCCATCTCTGTTGGGGAGGAGAAACAGGAAGGTGAATTCAGGGGCCCCGTTAAGCCGTTCTCCATCTGTCTGAGCATTGGGCTCGGTCGGGTTCTGCAGAACCAGAGACCAGCAGAAGGTTCTGCCAGGCAGCTGCCCTGATGTTCCTGAAAGCGGTTTCTGCCTCCTCTCTGCGACTCCAACAGCATCGGCAGCCAGGGACTGAACTCTGCTGCTCATTACAGAAGAGCTTTCATAATATTCCCAGAGCTTTTAATGGAAAACATCCAGCAGTCCAGGTTTCCTGTGAGAGCGCCGCTCCCAACAACGAGGACGCTTTGTTCTGGATCTCTGGACGGCGTGGGCGAGGAGAGAAACAACAAGCAGAGAAAAAAGGAAACGGCAGATTGATGAAAAGCCAAACGGGTCCCAGGACGCCATGTTCTTCTTCTGCACATATTAAAAACTCCCACACGTTTCAGGAGAATTAGCCGCACAAGCTAGCTTAACGACTCATTAGTTTCACCTGATGGAGGCTCTGTGGGCGGCGGGCCGAACCAGAACCTCAGCAGAATCGGGCCAGAACCTCATCGGAACAGGAGAAGACCGGGTCTGATGAGGTTCTGCAGAGAGAGAAACTGTACAAACATAATGTAGTTGAGTCAAAGTCCAGTTAGTCTGATAACATTTTACTCATAGTAAACTGTTGAAGTAAAAAGTCCCTCTTTAAATATAACTAAAAGGTAATCAGTTTATGAGCAGAAAGTTGAGAGGAAATGAAAACGTTTTGAATTGAACAGGATCTTAATAAATCAAAATTCAACACCAAGTGAATCCTGTGAGCCATCACGAGGATCTGGGATGTTTTCTGTCTATTTTTAATGAGACATAAATTTCTCCTGTCAGCTGCTGTCTGCCAGCTTCTCTCATCTTCCTCAGAACCTGGCAGGTTTCATCTTCGTCCTCTGTCCAGCATGTCCGCTGTCCCTCCTGTCTGACAGTTTTCAGTCACTGACTCCAAACCAAGAGCCTGCAGACAAAGCCAATATTTAAGTTTCTTTTAAATATTATTCAGAATGGTCCTAATGTGGAACATAAACAAAGCCAGGTCTATATTAAACCATTATCTCTGCCACAAGGTCTTAACAATATCACACACACAGAATCAATGTCAGAAAAGTTTTCACCCCCATGAGCCACATGCCGACCCATAGGGGGCAGTGTAGCGCCGAGCTAAAGTCTGTCAGCCAATCAGATTGCTTAAAAACAACCACAATGCTTCAGTCCTGAAAGGACTGAAGCATGGCGGCAGGAGTTTGCTATGTGGGTTGAACTGTGTTTAAGCATCGCATTAGAATATGAAGCTAACAAACGAGGCGATGTCGCAGCGAGACAGAAAATATCGCCGCATTATTTGTTGCAGGCTTTAATGCACAGGACCACATCGCAAACACAAATTCAGTTTTCTCAAATTTCCACTTTGGTGGGAATTTTTATAAATAATTGTTTGTATTCAAATTACAAGTATAAGTAAAAGTTCAGCTTTTGTAAACAACTTCAGAAAGAACAGGAGGCCAGGCGCTGCAGAACCAGAACCAAGATCAGAACAGAGAGTCCTTTAAAACCTTCAGGAAAACTTTGAGTGGAATGATGCGTGTTTTCCACATCGCTACTCATTTCTCTGCTTCTTGGAGGTCTTTGAGCTCTTTGTCATCCTCGGCTGTTTGGTCAACGTGTTGTTTTGAAAGTGCTCATAAATAAATTTGACTGAAAAGCGGTGCTATCAGTGGAGTCTCGGTTCATGAAAGATTCATGGCTGTGGATGTTCTGACAGAAGCTCCTCCAGGCTTTATGGGCACTTTTCTTAAAAACAACAATAATTTGAATTTTACCTCAGCTAGAAAACGTTTTCATGGAGCTGAACAGAGTCACCCTCATTTCAAAGGACTAATGAGCCATCGAGCCATAAAGCCACACTGACATTTGGTGTCAAATTTAAACTTTCACCAACATCTTAAAAAAAAATTAACATGAAAAGAAGTCAACACCCTAGAGTACGGTAGGTCTTCCCTTCGTTTATCTCATCGTACGGTAGGTCTTCCCTTCGTTTATCTCATCGTACGGTAGGTCTTCCCTTCGTTTATCTCATCGTACGGTAGGTCTTCCCTTCGTTTATCTCATCGTACGGTAGGTCTTCCCTTCGTTTATCTCATCGTACGGTAGGTCTTCCCTTCGTTTATCTCATCGTACGGTAGGTCTTCCCTTCGTTTATCTCATCGTACGGTAGGTCTTTCCTTCGTTTATCTCATCGTACGGTAGGTCTTCCCTTCGTTTATCCCATCGTACGGTAGGTCTTCCCTTCGTTTATCTCATCGTACGGTAGGTCTTCCCTTCGTTTATCTCATCGTACGGTAGGTCTTCCCTTCGTTTATCTCATCGTACGGTAGGTCTTTCCTTCGTTTATCCCATCGTACGGTAGGTCTTCCCTTCGTTTATCTCATCGTACGGTAGGTCTTCCCTTCGTTTATCTCATCGTACGGTAGGTCTTCCCTTCGTTTATCTCATCGTACGGTAGGTCTTTCCTTCGTTTATCCCATCGTACGGTAGGTCTTCCCTTCGTTTATCTCATCGTACGGTAGGTCCCTTCGTTTATCCCATCGTACGGTAGGTCTTAAAGGGTCTCCAGGAACCCTACAGAGTTGAACATTGAAATGTGAGTGAAATGGATCATCATGGTGTGAAGTGTTCCAGTCTTGATTTATTTCATGTCTTTTTCCAACATCATTTATTCATCACAGCAAATTAACATTAATGTTCAATTGTTGTGGTTTTAAATCTCATTTAGGAAACATGTTCAACTGCCTACAGGAAGAAACAAACCTCCGCTTTCCGTTCAAAATATTCCTGCTCCCTCAGTTCACTTCATCCTCCACGTCACCTCAGGCATGACAGTGACTGAGGGAGGAGTACCCAGAGAAAACCCACGCAGGCATGGAGACAGCATGCAGGCTCCCCACTGACGGGCCCGGCCATGTTTTCTAGTTTTATTAAATTAAAGAATTCATCACCGGAGGGAAAAGCTGCTTTTAGTTTCATTGTTTTAAATTCCTTTTTTGCAGTTTTGGTGGAGGAGCAGAATCTGGTTGAAACTCCTGAGATGAATCATCTCCAGGTGTCTGGAGGAGAAACCATCTTTGAATCAGAGGCTGTGGGTTTGATTCCCAACCAGCCTCTGCTCATTTACCACTAAATATGGACCGACCGGGCCTTCACCGCTCCAGCGCGGTTTCAGGTCTGAGTCTAGCTGAAACGGGCCGGTTTCTGGAAGACAGACGGGTCCGCCATATCAGAACCAGATCCCCTCCGGGTTTCCCCTCCCGTTTAATTAATTGTCTCTGCAGGAGCAGCTGTCGTCTCTGGAGTCTCAGCGGTTCTGCTGCGATCCGGCAGTGGCGCATTTAATGATGAAGCATCTGGACGGCGGCGCCGCAGAAGAAGCACATCCATCCTGAGCCGTGAAGAGCCGCACTTCACACACGCTGAAGACTCAACATCTGGGTCATCTCTACGTTTCAGGCCGAACCTGAGCGAGCAGCCGCAGCTGCGAGTGATGCTGAACGCTGCAGCTGCACAACTTTATTACATGAAACAGCGACAAATCAAAGCAGCTGCTAGTCTGCTGTTAGCAAGGTTAACATTCACTCAGAGATTATCATTCAGAGATTAAAGTTCACTCAGAGATTATTATTAAGAGATTAAAGTTCACTCAGAGATTATCATTAAGAGATTAATGTTCACTCAGAGATTAAAGTTCACTCAGAGATTATCATTAAGAGATTAATGTTCACTCAGAGATTAAGGTTCACTCAGATTAAAGTTCACTCAGAGACTAAGTGACTCCATTGTCCGACGGACGTGTAAACCACGTTCTGATGGGTGGATTAGTGTAAATCTGAGCTAGCTGACCATGTAGTTCACAAAATAATGGTCAACTAATGTGCAAATGCACTTGCCAATAAGCAGAAATGAACTATCAAAATAAAAGCTTGGTCATATGCTGGCGAGTTTGAAGCTCATTCATCTCTGCTGCTGCAGATCTGTCCTTAACATCTCCAGAGCTTCTGGGTTTCAAAACCAAACATTTCCAACAAGGCCTTGGAATGCAACAGGTGCTTTGGGTCTTGCATTCACTTTGATTGTTTGAAAAAATATAGACAAAACCCCCCCCCAAAAAATCCCTAGGATCTTAGTGTAAAATTAAAGTTAACTTAATCTGGTGTTTCAAGTTCAAAAAGTGGTCAACAAAAATCATTTTACAGAAATCTTCCATCATTCCGCCGGACATTTGGCAAACAAAAAGAGGCTAACTGTTACCAACACAAAATTATTCATATTTTGGTTCTTCACCAACCTAAGTGCATTCTTATTGCCCAAAGAAAAAGTTGGTTGAAATTACAATTTACAAAATTAAAATGGCCACAACAAAAGCCTTTAATAACGACTCAGACTTTGTTTAGGACAAAATGTTGGACTAGAAAAGGGAAAAACTACGATGAAGACATGAGGCGATTTGAATGTTGAAGTTTATAAAGAAGAACAGAAGACCAAGCTTTTATTGTGGTGGTCCATGTCCAGTTACTGACAGGTGAATTTGGATGTTGACATTTAGCTCTGAGCTAGCTAAACACATTTAACTAACTCAGAACCAAATAATTAGTTTGGTGCTCCAAAATAATTATATTACATTTATAAAAGAGTAATAGAATATGACTGTTATTTGCAGAGAACATAATGGCTGAAAAATGCAGGGTTTTCCAAAGTACAAGCCTGGCGGCCCGCCATGCTTGACCAGCCCCCCGCCAGGCTAAGCTTTTGTTTTCCAGAAAATAATAATTAAAAGAGAAAAATTGCTTAATTTTATTTTCTTTAAGCCAGATTGAAAAGTGTGTGTGTTGCTAATGTGCAATGTGAGAGTTTCACTGGCAGAATGTGTTAGAGAAATTGATATAATTAATCAAATATTTGTTATTCTCATTGATCTTTATAATGTATCTTTACTTTATATTTTCCTTTAAGTTAATCTCATTATAGGATTAAGAATGTTTCTGTTTTGTTGAGTTTCTGGAATGCTGTAAAACTGTTACTGTGAAGATTGACTACTTATTCTGTTTAATGTGTCCAGAACGAGATTATCACCTACAAGATAATTGTGTTGCATAGAAGGAGTGAAAAACACAATACACATTCTCAAGGTACTGTCTTTGCATCTCCTGAGGTTACAGTTGTTTGTTGTCTCTGGGGTCGTAAAGTTCAGTTCCTGAGACTTTGGGTTGTATGTAAACGACCCATTCTTCCTGTCAGGCTGGATGTCGCCATCTCAGGTGACAGACTCGTTGCTTCAAAGATAAGAAATGCAGATCGATCCCA